AAATAAAATAAAATAAAATAAAATAAAATAAAATAAATAATAATAATAATAATAATAATAATAATAATAATAATAATAATAATAATAATAATAATAATAATAATAATAATAATAATAATAATAATAATAATAATAATAATAATAACAATAATAATAATAATAATAATAATAATAATAATAATAATAATATTTTGATTAACAACAATGATCAGTGTTATACTTATGATTGGATAATGACTTAGAAACATTTTTAATGAGTATCATATCACCTTGGAAAATGTATATTGTGATCAATTTCCAAAATTCTTGTGATTTCGTTGAAATTTTGGTCAAAAATTATTGCGAGAATAGTTGTAATAAATGTTAACCGAAATCTTGATTTAAATATTTCCTTATAAATTTTCAATATCATTAGATGTTATTGTCATTTTGTGCATTTGATTAATCATACTTTAAAGAGTTTTGATAAGTTTATCGAAATATAATTTAAAATAATTTATAATTTAAAACCTCTCACTCAAAATTACACTAATTATAAATTGTTTTGGTTGAATTTTTTAAATCTTTCAAACATTTGAAAATTGATTGATTACATTTAAGAATGGACGATGCTTATACTTATTATTGATAGCACAAATTATATAACTAGAAATCATTGGAAAAGTAACAGAAATAAGCATACTTCACTGATTCCATTTTAACTTCACTCATTCTTGGCCAACTAAATTAGCCTATTGCTTTTTCGTGTAAATCCATTTCTTCAATCAAGATAGGAGGAAAATGAAAATGGATAAATTCATTTCAATGTTAATTTAATTCTCTAAAATGATGATGTACGAGTGAATTTACGTCAAATCAACAAGTGTAGGATTAATTGTAATTTTTGCGAGAAAAAGAAAAAAATCAGTTTAAAGCAAATTTTTGCAAAAAAATTAGAGAGTAGGTTTTTTTTTCTTTTTTTTTTAAAAAAAAAAAGATAATAAATCATTTTTACAATGTTATGCGGAATAATTTAGTAGTTAAATACGAAATTAACACTTGTAAATTTAAATTAACATTATTGCAAAAAAAAAAAAAAAGTCTCAAAGATTATTTATGTATTTTGAATAGATTAAATTAAAAAATGTTAATGATATATAAATGATCATTGAATTATCGATCGATCCATTCAAAAAATAGAAGAGAGCAATGAACTCAATGATTAATGGATTAAAATTTGAAAAATTTATTTAATCACTGCAATTTTTCTTTCTTTTTTTTGTTATCTTGTGGCAGATGATTGATTCGAATAGTTAATAAATTTAATTTTCAGCTAAAATTCATAATTATATTTAATCAAATATTTCAAATCACATTTAAAAAAAAAAAAAAAAAATTGAAGGAAGAAGGAAAAAAATGAAAATAGCACTGAGAATATAAATAAGATGAGATAAGAAATTTTGTTCGATTATTCGTAGATTATTTGGTGAATATAAAAAAATAAGCAGGATGACTCATTGGTTAATCAATTACAAAATTCCGCACTGGCGTCATAAGATATTGTCATCAGATTGTCATTTCGTCTGTCTCCATTGCTCTATTAGTGTGTCATTGTCTAAATTATCATTAGATTGCCTTTTTAAAGCTTTCTCTTTTTTTCTTCCTTTTTTAAATAAACTGTACTGTTTATACAACAATCTCATCCTATATTTTGATACAGACGAAAAGCGAGAAGGAAAGAGGAAGTGAAAATTATCAGTGTTGAAGTGATTTTGATAAAAATTTAACTTCAATAGCATTTTGTATGAAATGTACCAATTTTTTGCATCAAAAAAAAAAAGAAAAAAAAATTAATGAAATGAATGTAAATCAAATTTCAATTTTAAATTAGCATATATAGAAAGAAGGCAGATTTTTCATATCGAAAAATTCTATAAATCGATGTAAACTAAATTTTCAAATTGAAATATCATTATCAATTCCCATTTATGGCTACCAACTTTTCGCATACCTTGCCATTCATTAAATAGCATTAACATGCTAATTTTTGACAAGTATAATAGAATATAAACAAGAAAAATATTCCAAAATTCTGATTCATTGCATAAAATGCTAATTTCATTATCAAAAATTGCACGAAATAATAAAATAATTTTAAATTAGGCAAGTAATTTTATGTCTTTTTGTAAAGATAGGATTGATATTTTAATGGCATAAATAGGAAATTAAATACTGAATCAAAAAATTAAAACAAAGATTAGTAACGAATTTCTCACGATGGGAATTTGTTTGAAATCATCAAAGCGAAAATTTTAGGAACAATGAATGGAAAGAGGCGGTAAAACAAGTTTGTCTGAGAAGAGAAGCAGACATTGGAGGAAGAGGAGGAAGGAGGAGGAGGAGGAGAGGAGGAGGAGGAAGGAAAAAGAGGGGGAGGAAGGAAGGAAAAATGAATGAGGAGGAGGAGGAAGGAGAAGAAAAGGAATAAATGAGTTGAAAAGGAACTGAAAATGGCGTTAAGATTTGTTCGCCCATTGTTGTATCAGTTCATGTATACTTTTAAATCACTTAGAGAAGGATTGAAATTTAAAGTTTCTCGAAATTAATTAGTTAACTTTTCCGGATGTTAATGCTAAATATCCTCAACTGTATATGTTGATAAATTGTTGTAATTTCTTTTTTTTTTTTTAAAATAACTCTGTCCAAATTTTAGATTTAGAATGAGTTGACAATTGACAAAAGGAAAATTTCAACATAATATTTCTCTATGAAATGTATTACTTTCAAATGTTGAAATTTTTACTTTCACTTTTTAAAAATATTTAAAACAAGAATGTTGCCCGCTACAAGAAATTTTTTTTCTTTTTTAAAATCACTTAAAATTTTAAAAAATAGAACAGTG